AGCGATCCACTTTTGTTTTGTAATTTGAGTATCTAGAATATCGAGGTAGGGTTGTTGCTGTCATAGAAATTTGGCAGTCTCTCAAATTACTGCAATTTCGTACTAGATTCCTTCCAAAGATTAGTTTTTTGATAAATGGCTACATTTTATATGAAATTGTTTACGGACAATTTTACCAAACCCACTCATTAGCTTGATTTTGAGGTTACCCGCGCCTGACTACGAGCCAATGCAAACGACTTCTGGCCATCGAGACAGTGAGTCTGCCCAAATTATTTTGTTTTCAAAAGATCACGCCAAAGCTTTGGCAGAACTTCCGACGTCGTTGTCGGCTCGAGAGGACGATACTCGCCGTGGATCATGGAGAGGGCCGAAGCAAGCCGAATCGTCCCACATGTCAGGGGGAGTTCAGCGCTCTAGGAAAAATCGGTTACATAGGTAAAGGATACACAAAAATATCTTCTACCGTTATTACTTACCACTTGCAGGCAAACCCACTCGATGTCGTCGTCCGAAGAAGACTTGCCATCTACTTTATCCTACGATGAGGACACCCAACGAACGCCGGGTGAATGCGTCTCTGAAAAGGGTTTGTGTAGGTTATTGGAAGGTCACACCAGATGCCCTAGCTTTTGACATCAGCAAAGGATTTCAGATCTGCTACGGTATATCTACGGTTCGGAGAAGATGAAGAACAGTCGCAAAAGTGCGTTTCCCTTGACTTTTCCATACTTCTCAGAAAAAAGAGCTTTCTTGCGATTAGTACACTACCTCTCCCACTTCGAATACTTTCTTCTCAGGTGGATTTCTCCAATTACGGCATTCGGCGGACGAGTTTCGACCTGCACCACGCGAACCATCTGCAACACTCGTCCCTGGAGATCTGCTCGCTGCCAAAATTCGCACTTATCTCTCCGTCAGTCTTGATCATGCTATCTTCTGAATTTCTAATTTAGCCCATGAATATTTTTAGCATCCTGTAACATGGCAGCCATCGGCGGATCAACGAAGACTTATCGGACATATGGTCCTTACCAAAACAGATAACTCAAGATCTGGAGATCTTGGGCTCAAGGTATAACGCAAGTTTTGCGTTGTTTTTCTTTGCTCTGTATCGTAGTTAGATGAGAATCTATGCAACATCAACGAAGGATATTCAAGAGATGAAATGAGCATTACTGCTAATTTTGTACGACTTTTATCAAATTTTGTAACAACACCTCGGGCTGCATCCATAGTGGCTCTTGACCAGCATAGTGTCGACACGCCATCGGCACGCTGACGGCGTCGGAACTATAGAAGCAGCCGCAGACATCCAGAGTAAAAGCATTCTATTGTCTCCACTCTGAATGCATAGTTGTGAGAAAAGAAAAGCAAATTTATAATATCTCATGATCGAAAGGCAGCCAAGCATGAAAAGCAAATCTTACCAATAATTGGAGGACCATTTTAGGTAGTAGGTGGACGTCGCACTGATACTGGTCGCTTAGGAGCTTTCATCACACGGGTCAAACCAGGAAGCGTGGCGGACACAATAGGAAGACTTAGAGCTGGTACACAATTCTTAAAGTCAGATCCAGCATTAGCAAAGCTATTGTTCGTAGGAGACGAAGTCCTCGAATGGAATGGGCAGGCTCTCCAAAACGCAACATTCGATCAAGTATACGAGATCATTTCGGCCAGCAAGCAAGAGTCGCATGTAGAGATTATTGTCAGCAGATCGGCGAGGTAGTTTCTGATTGCTTCTCCAATCTAAATCAATGAAATGATTTTAGCATACCGGGTGGAGATGACTTCCTGAACATACAGACACAGCCCAGGCAACTTCCGAGTCTTCAGTATT